CCGCAATTCGCAACGTCCCTCAGCTCCAACCCGGGGACCCTGCGCATCAGTCCTTAGGCGCTTAGGGGTTGACTCAACAGGGACGAGGAGACGAAGGGTCACCCAAGTGAAAAAGTCTTTCAGAATTCACAAGGGATCTTGCGCCGTTTGTTTGAAGCTCCGCCAGGTGCATTTTCATTTGCGCAGGGGGGGCTGTCCACCCAATGTCACCGTGCCAATGGACTTATGCCACAGCGGTACAAGATTTGGGCGTGGGTGAGAGATCAAAAACAATATTTAACGTAGCAATAAAAAACAATTTTACACGCATCAATAAAAACATAAATACAGACTCCAAAAAATAAGTTCCAAATAGCAGTAGCAGTAAGAGTAGCAACAGTACTATAGTAGCAGCAGTATCGTAGTGGTAGTCGTAGTGTTTCGTGGCAGGTGCAGTACTTTGTGGACCTTGCAATGCACATTTCGTGGCAGGTGCAGGACTTTGTGGCCCTTGGAATGCAGATTTTGTGGCAGGCGCAGGACTTTGTGGACCTTGAAGTGCAGATTTCGTGGCAGGTGCAGTACTTTGTGGCCCTTGGAGTGCAGATTTCGTGGCAGGCGCAGGACTTTGTGGACCTTGAAGTGCAGATTTCGTGGCAGGTGCAGGACTTTGTGGATGTGGAAGTGCAGAGTTGGTGGCCGGTGCAGGACTTTGTGGGCCTTGGAGTGCAGATTTCGTGGCAGGCGCAGGACTTTTCGATGTGGAAGTGTAGAGTTGGTGGCAGGTGCAGGACTTTGTGGCCTTGGAGTGCAGATTTGGTGGCAGGCACAAGACTTTGTGGACCTTGACGTGCAGATTTCGTGGCAGGTGTAGTACTTTGTGGATGTTGAACTGCAGATAGACAGATAGAAAGATAAATGGATCGATAGATACATACATACATACATAGATAGATAGATAGGTAGATAGAGGAAGCATATTTGCTTGGTTAGAAAATTTTGCACCGGGGAGTTCACCTTAAAATATTGATTTCGTGGCAGGCACGGGTGTCGGGGATGAAGTGCAGATTTCGTGGCGCGGGGGGGGGTTCGGGTGGGGGCGCAGCGCCCCCCCC